TCCTCTCTACCTATTCTTACTCTACGCAGCTTGGTAACTAAATTAGACCATTGTGTCATAGTACTCGATATCATGAATGAAAATACCAAAACCCAAAACCCAACACCAAATCCAAATCTACTCAAATTCCGAAACACCTAAATCCAAAACCACCCAAAATTCAAAAGCTTTGGGTTAGATTTGATATTGATACATCCCTAGTCAGCATCGTTACATTGATCACAGCCATCCAGTGATTGTTAGAAAAGATCCCTTGATATTCTTATGTCAGTTATTTTCTAGTTGACTATTCAATTCACGAAACCCGGCGCAATCAAAATAGCAAATGACTTCTCTATTATCATTATTAGCACTTTCTGTTTGTTTCTTCGCGTCTTCACATGCTGTGACCGTGGTTCCATTAGCTGGGAATGATTGGGTAATAAGCAACAATCAATCTCTTTCTGCACAGGGACAGGTACCTGGCACCATACATACCATTCTTTTTGCCGCCAAACTTATTCCGGATCCTTATTTCGGTTACAATGATGTTAACCTACGCTATTTGGTATACAGCTCATGGACATTTTGGAAGAAGTTTTCTTTGACCGTTGATTTTCTATCGTTGACCCAATTTACAATTCATTTTGACCAGATTGACACAGTAGCAAATATAACCCTCAATGGTTGTTTTATTGGTCGAACAAACAGTATGTTCATACTGTACTCGTTTAATGTAACAAGTTCATGTCTACAATCAAATAATGAACTTCGAATTGACTTTGAATCGCCAGTAATATATGCAGCAGATCAAGCAAAAGCATACAATGAAACAGTTCTGCCAGAATGTCCGTTAGCTGTGCAGCACGGTGAATGTCATATTCAGTTTATTCGAAAGGAAATATGCTCATTCAGTTGGGATTGGGTAAGAAAACAGTCGTCGAAATGATTGAAATAATACTACTGTTGAGAATTGTTCCATTTTGGGACTTTCTAAAGAACAATTCAAAGTTTTAATAAATACAGGGATCTTTTCAGGTCTTCAGTAGTAATAGTAATTCATCGACTATCAATCCTGCTCAATACAACATTCACCTTCAATTTTCTCTTCTCCTTCTAGGGTCCAGCATTTGCTCCTATCGGCATCCCCGGTAATCTCTACCTCCAGGGCACACATTCCACCGAAATAGTTATTACATTGGAAAGTGTCAATGTGGCTTCTTATCAGAAATCTGTCAATCAATGGCGAGTGGATGTGCTGCTTAGTAGTAGCAACGATCCTTTTGTCAGCGAACTAAACTTCGTCTTAGAGAATACTTCGTTCACGTATCAGTCGAATATTACATTCAATCAGCACGTCTCCTTGTCACTTTGGATTCCCAATGACACTGTTCAACTGTGGTGGCCCAATGGGTATGGAGATCAAACACTGTACACACTATCTGTCTACAACCAAGGTGAACTAATTGGATCACGTTTGATCGGCTTTCGAACAGTTGAACTTGTTCAACACTCTTACGGGCCGAACATCAAAGGACTGTCGTTTTACTTCGTCATTAATGGTCGGTCAATATTTATTAAAGGAACTAATTGGGTTCCACCTGATGCATTTCGCGAACGAGTGCCAGACAAAAGACTCGAACAACTACTTCGCTCAGCTCAATTGGCTAATATGAATATCCTACGTATATCGGGTGTTGACTTCTATGAAAGTGATTCATTCTACGAAATGAATGACCGTTTAGGCATCATGGTGTGGCATGATCTCATGTTCGCTAATACTCTGTAATATTTTGCTTGTAAAAATCCTTTCTCTCTTCTATTTTTCTATTCTGTTTAGGTACCCAATGGATGAATCTTTTCTAATGCTTGCGCGTAATGAAGTACTCTATCAAATGAAACGACTTCAGTCACATCCATCGCTTGTTATGATCAGTGCAAACAATGAAATTGAGGTAGCACTTGCTCAAAATTGGTTTAAAATACCAGCAGATCGAATGGACAAAGCGAAACATGATTATCGAAAACTTTATTTGGATGTCATTATGAAGGCTATACAAGAAGTAGACAAAGGTAATAATCGACTATTCGTTGTCTCATCGCCTAGCAATGGTCTGGAATCAGTGAATGAAAATTACACCGCTAGAAATCCTCAAGATCCACTCTATGGTAAGTTGAGCAGAAGTCGTTTTTTACTTGGTTCATTGATAACGAACTGTTCTAGGCGATGTGCACTTCTATGAATATACTAATGATACATGGGATCCAAACACGTATCCCATTCCTCGTTTTATGTCAGAAACGGGCCTTCAATCACTACCTAGTCTAGATTCATGGTATCAAGTGACACACAATATCAGTGATTTGCAGTATGGTAGCGCTTTTTACCAGCATCGAGAGCATTCTCCCAACAAAATCAACGATCTATTGTAAATTCACCGTACATTGTCGGAGAACTTTCCTCTCAATAATGCTTTGTTCTTTTCAGAAATCAAATTAAAAGCAATCTACCATTACCGGTGACGAGTAATCCGTTACAGGAATTCGTTCATATGATCTATTTGAGTCAAATCAATCAAGCGATGACATTGAAAAGTATTAATGATGTGTGTAGAATTCATTCCTCTATTGATATGATTGATCCAAAGACAAGTGAAGGGTAAATAGGTTTCTACTGATATTATTATCAGTTCTTTTTACGGCATTTGAGGTTGTTTGTTTATTCATTCTAGTCATACGATGGGCTTCATGTATTGGCAAATCAATGATATTTGGCAAGCACCCACCTGGGCAACGATTGAATATGGATTGAAATGGAAAATGGGTCATTACTATGTTCAACGTATGTTTGAACCTGTCTATCTAGTACCCATTCTCGCACCATACCTCGCCAAAGTGACCGATGAAAATGCTCGCATTTCTGTCTATCTGGTTAACGAACTCCTCAATGGTACAAGTGGTCGGACGATGTGTTCATTTTTCTCACTCGATACATTTGCTGTTCGATCATCAGTTGCATTTGATGTTTCCATCAACGCACCTGATGTGAAACACATCGTTGATCTTCCGTATACAACAGTGATGAAAAGCGCTGGTTGCTCCAACGGTAGTCAATGTCTCTTTCACTGTACTTACAACAGCACGCAAGAGGATATTGGACACACTCTGTTCTTCACACAACCGAAAAACTATCAACTCTACCAACCAAACCTTCGCATTGAAAATGTTCAGCAAGTGTCACCAACAGAAGTGAGCATCACAATCACAGCCACACGACCAGCGCTCTTTGTCTGGCTTGATGTGTCGATTGATACTAGTGGCTATTTTTCACGCAATGGCTTCCATATGTTCGAGACAAGAAGAACTGTCAGTTTTCATTCGTGGTCACCAATGAGCAATGGTGTCAGTAGTAATTTAAACGTAACAGTTCGTTCGTTGTTCGATGTAACACAACTCTAATTTCATTTTTTGTGTGACAGTAAAGATTAATGAGAACACGTATTCATTGCTAGATCTGTGAAGCGATCACCTATCTGAAAGGTGAGTTTATTAGATATAATTCCAAGCGACTTACGACGATCGTTTCGTCCTTGCTTAAGGAACTTGACGGTAAAGTTCGGAATTTAGAAATACTGCATAAAATTAAATTGTTTAGCTGAAGTGAGGTTATGGAATCTGAAATAAAAAGTTCTGGTAGACATTGAAACAAAGAAAGGCTTATATTATATAGAAAAGTTCATTCAATGAAACAAAAAATAGAAAATTTCATATGAAATGGTTTTGTTTATTTGTTTTGAAGAAAGGGAGTATTATAATGTTCACATCTTGAGGGTGAGTTTGAAATGATTCAGTCGAAAGAGAAAGCATAAAATGAGTTCATATAGAACTATCTATAATCATTTTATCTATCCACAGAATTATATTTATGTGATCAGTCGAAATATATCCACATGACACGCTCCATTTAGTACGAAAGACTAAACAGAAAGAATCATTTAAGCAGAATGAGAATCGAACCCACATCTTCCAATAACCCGATTGAATTTTCCATTGGCAGCTCTCTGATTCTTTACATCTTTAATCGGATGAGTGTCACTTTCAGAATGATTTCTTCCCGTAAATTCTACTGAAAATCTCGGGTAAAAATCTTTATCACAGTGTTGGGTGTGGGTGTGGGTGTTGGTGTGGATGCTGGTGTAACTTGAACTAAGAACATCACAAAAACACTCACACCCACACCCACACCCACACCCACACCCACCCACACCCCACACCCACACACACCCACACCCACCCTGGACCTAATTGATAATATAAGCAAAAAATCAGAAAAAGTTTCTCTTTTGAAATTCCAAGGAAGACTATCCTCTTATGTTTGGAACTTTTCAATATACAATTATTTCTTCTTATTCTATTGAGTGTATTTCTTCTACGAAGTTTAATTAGCCAGAATCCTGAAAATTCAAAAAGCGAGAATTTTACAGGATTGTTATTAGGTTGAATAGCTGTAATCAAATGAAAACGTTCAAATTATCATTTTGCACCCAATACCATCCACTAAATATTCGATAAAAAAAAACATGTTCGCTGTTTCGATTTGATTACACTACTTCACGTAATACTTTGTGGCGGTTCTAAATTAATTTTTGAGTATGAGCATATTGGTCACTGACAGAAGTTCATATGTAAATTCACACATACACTACGTACTAATGCGGGTGGGGTGTGAGTGTGGGTGTGCGTGTGCGTGTGCGTTTGGGTGTGGGTGGGTGTACCCTGCGAGGAGACCAACACCCACACCCACATCCAGACCCTTCTATATTGTGACACAAGTTGATTGATTTCAGTAAGTGTACTCGAATTTATTTGAAACGAGGTTAGATTGAATTGAAACATACAATCGTTTGAAACATTGACAACTACTTTGTAACACTCTAGATTGAATGGATTTTATACATAATAATGTACAATTCTACTTGTCATTTCTTCTTATATTGTGTATATAAGCCATTATGGATGCTTTAGAATATGTACATTAATTACGGTCATTGTATAATGATTTATATGTTCCAGTAAAAAGAAAAAACAAACTCTAATTGAAGAAATAAATCTTAATGAATAAAAATAATTTTTGTTTGATGAAATTATATTGATGATGTATGCTTAAAAGGCTTTCGTATCAGAAGGTCAAATAATTAAATCACCCCTTTGGTTTTAATGAAGTGTCATGGTAAGATTCACTGTCATTGTTATTCTACCTAATAATATATGCTTGTGAGCTCCACTTACTTGCATTAATCTTTGACGCATTCTAATGAATGTTATTTAATATAGGAAACAAAATCTAGATTAAAAATGAAATGCCTTTAAAAAGTCTAACACATGAATTAAATGATACTGCATCTTGTTTATTCTCAATTCTTTTCTTCTTCAATTCACTACATAATTAAAAGAAAAGATTTTTTCTTGATCTGAATTTTCCTCTTTATATTTCGTTGATATTTCAAAATATCTGGACCTCAATATGGAATGCAATGCATTTCTTTTGCATCACTATGCTATATGAATCAACGGGAAATAGTGAAATATGAATCATAATTATTTTACGCACTTCGATATAACTTTCAAATAAAGACTATTTTCAGAAAATTATTCAAATATTGATTTCAAACACTAACCTATGCATCTCAAACATGAAAACTTTATTTTTCTAACTATCTTTGTTTACTCTAAACAAGTCACTTTGCATAAAATATGTTTTTATGATGGTATTTTCTTTTTCATCATTATTACTCTTATGACGTTCTTAATTGAAAATTGATCTATGTAACATTTACATGAAGATTAGATAAAATTACAGAATTTCGGTGTTTCTTACATCATCACTATTTATATTAATTAAATTTATCAAGAGATATAACAACGTATTTCATTTTTCTTCATCTTCTGAAATAGATCCGTCTATGGTAGACATTAGATTTTTTTTGTGACAAGCTGATATTTCTATATTTCAAATTCCAGTATTTTATTAAAATTTGTTTTCAGTATTCTGTTATATATCTATTTATAAACCTATGATGAAATCTGTCACTTCTTTCGTATAAACAGACGTCAATGTATCTCCACATAGTAAATATACAACTTATCAAGATTACTTTTCGCAATTGACATACATTTTTGAAGAAAATAGCGAGCGTAAGTTTAAAAGCGAGTTTTTACGGTTCCTTTCATCCCATTACAGAGATTAACAATCCATTACTGATTAGAAAAAAAAGATAATTATATTAAATCATTAAAAAAAATGAAAACAAAACAAATAATAGTGTAAATGTGAAAGTGAGTGACGAAGAAACTAATAAATAACTTTTGAAAGTGTGGAAATAAATAAGGCAGATTTTTTCTCTAATGATCAATTCGTTTCAAAGAACAAGTATAATCTTTAAGAAAGTTTTCATTTTACAAATTTTAATTGGTTTACCCAGGTTAGAATGAAATACATAAGTTGCGCTGATAAGGTTTTTTTTTTACACATTTAGATTTTAAAACAAGAAGGAAACGGAAGGACTAAGAGAATTTATTCATTCTCATAAAAATGCCTACAGAACTACCAACATTGCTTGCCAGTGCCGGACTACAATTAATTCGTTATGGTTATTCGTCATGGCTCATATTTGGTGTTCCAGGCTGTTTACTCAATATTATTATTTTGTCACGACGACAATTTCGCATAACATCATGCTGCAATTGTAAGTATCATTTGAGGGGTACACAAATACAGTTACATTTTGTAATGCTTCAACTCAGAGAGTTTCCTCTATACATGTGTCACATATATTCTTGTAACGTCATGTGGATATATTCGTACACGCAGCGAAGTTTTTCGGGAGTACATATATTTTCCTGAAATCATTAGAAATCATTATATGACGTTATGAAACGTTACATTGTATTTTGAGGAATTGTATACATTATTTAGATTTCCTTATGTTTTCCCATTACAAAATGTATTTCTATTAGCTTACCTATATTATTAATATATCACAATAAGAATCAATTTTATCGGTGAACTATTTTTTTTAAATGACTGTTCTACTGATTGTTGAAATCAGTATCGATTTTTGGATTAACGATATAATTTTCCAAGGATAGTTATCTTTTCAATATGGGATATGCTTTCGAATTTTTCAATTAAAGTCTTGTTTCTTAGTAAATAATTATAATCTTCAAACATATTCTTTGATGAAGATATTTGAAAAATGTTAAATCATAAATTTCTTGTTTTCTATAGACTTATTGGCAGCTTCAGTAGTTTTATTAATACTTATATGTTTTGGTTCTGCTGCAAATCTCTATGCACTTGATCATCCCGATCCGATGACAACAATACATGCTTTTTGCAAGTCACGTCCCTATATAGTGCAATCAACTGTCATGATGGGACGTTGGTTAGTAGCTATTGCTTGTATCGATCGATATGCATTAACTTCAAGAAGTTCTCGCATACGAAAATTTGCTCAAGTACACATTGCACGTTATACGATTGCATACACGATTGTTGTTTGGCTTATCTTACCCATTCATATGATTATATATTATGAGATAAACTCAGTGGCTAATATTTGTACCCTTTCATATAGCGGATCAATAGCATTCTATCATAGTATCTATACTATAACTATGGGTGGTATTCTTCCGGCAACAATCATGATTACAACTGCAATACTCATTCGATATAATCTTGCAATGAAACGAAATCTCTGTGGAAAACAGACCAATCCTAATAATGCCACTGCTCGATCGAATACTAATTCAAGTGCTCAACGTATTCGTGATCAACAAGCATTAATCATGTTGTTTGTACAAGTCACTTTCTATTGTATTGTTCAAATACCTCAATTCGTTCGAACAATGTACGGAGCTATAGCCAACAATGTATCAAATAAGTCAGCCGATCGTTTGGCTATTGAAAAATTTGCATTTACTGCAACAGAAATGTGTGCTTATCTGTTTCCTGTGTCATCATTTTACTTATACGTATTAGTGTCACGTGCATTTCGACATGAATTATATGCTATTGTAAGCACATTGATAAATAAGTGTTTCGATCGTCGCAATATTCGCATTAGACCAATCACAATTATGCAAAATGCTACTAGAGAACGTAAAGACAAGCATATGGCTTCTTAAGCATTATCTCATTAACCAAAAGTGACTATCCAGCAACAAAGCGCGCTTTCCACAGTCAAGACTGACTTAGAAATCAAATAGAGTGTCATGACATTTGCTTTACATTAATTTTCTTCTTGTTTATTTGTCTTCATTTTTTTGGTTACGTTAGTGACGCTTTCATCGTATCAATTAATCATCCATTGCTTCTTTTGTGTGTATCTATGACACATATATAGAATAAATAGAGGTTTACCTTGCTTGTAAACATTTTTTATTGATTTGTAAATGAACTATCAATTGTTCTATATCAAGAAAGCTGTAAGTTGCTGGCAATTCGAATTTGAAGCCAAATTGTTTTTTTTGAATAAGTCTAGTATGATTGAATAGAACTCGTCGAATTGCTCATAAAAGTAAGATTTTTTATTTTTCTAGACTACTTTTTCTATTGAAAATGAAATCGAAAAAAATATTTGACACTAAAATTGATATATTTCTGATACATGGAAAATTCAGCTACATTTTCGTGTATTTAGCGTTGCTTTTGTCTTTCCAAAGTATTTTATTTGTAATTGTTAATCAGACTACATGATAAAAGAAACAATTTTAACCTGCTCTGTAAGATAAAATGACTAGGCAGTAAAGCATTTCATGAGATAGATCTGACAATATTCGGAGGATTACCTTCTAAATATGTCAACTAACCAAAGATAGTTATTTCAACGATTCATTTTACTCTTTTATTACCAGCATCTATCGACAAAAAAAAGCTATGTTTGGTTTTTGAACTAGCTCTTTTATTCGTTGAGAAACGAAACATTGTCATACATGATCTATTAACTCTCGGAAGCTGTCGTAATTTCGTCATACAAAGTATGGCATGTGGGTTTGGTCGAACTCGCATATAAATGGGATGTGGGTGTGCGTATGAATGAATGGAAGACTAGTACACACCCAAATCCATCCACACCCACACCCTTCGATATATCAGGTTCAGGGGTGCGGGTGTGGGTGTGGGTGTGGGTGTGAGTGTGGGTGTGAGTGTGGATATGTATTATTTAGGAATAGCACACTCGTACCCGCGGACCCACCTTCAAACACACCCACTCACTCATACTCACACCCTCCACCCACACTCACACCCACAGCCATACACCCACACCCACACTCTTACATACCTAGTGAAGTATGTTTATACTACATCATTATCTACGTTCTGGTAAGATTTGATTTAAATAAATGGGTCAGTGAACGATCACCACGGGAGTGTTAAACTCCACAGTATTGAGTAATACAAAACAAAGAAGGAAAATATGAATGGACATGAGTATAGGAATGTGTCGATATGGTCTTGTCACGAACCACGCCTACATCTTCACTCAAGCACTTTCGTGCTCATCTTTCCTCGTGCTGATCATTCCTGTTCCCCCCACACCCACACCCTTGTAAAACTCAATACAAGGTTTTCAGGGACCAGAAATCGACCGGCATCATCAGTTACTGATAGTGTTCAAACCAATTCTTTCCATCAGAAAGTGACTTATAGTGACTCGAAGACTGAACGTGTCACTGGCATAGCTCCAATTGCTGTTCCATATATCGATGCATAGAGTGAGAAAACTACTACGAAAATTTTTCAAAGCTAATTATATCACTCGAGTTCTTGGTTCCGAATACCTTCGGTCAAACTTTATAAAAATAAATTATTTCCTTAAAAAAAGACTTTTTTAAGTAAAAAAATTCATTTGAAAATTTTCGAAAACTAATGATACTATTCGATTCCTCAACCCCGAAAACCTTTGATCAAATTTTAAGTTTTTCTAAGCCCATGGTTTTTTTACCTTTGAACTTGTCACAAGCATACAAATGCATGTAATTTTTTTCATATGACCCTCCCTACAGTCGAGGAAATAAGATTTCGTTAATCAGATGCTCCCATCTGCTAATTGTAACTATGAATTTCATGTGATATTAAAATGAATACTGAGATTTATAGGAGAATCTGAAAAAACACAAGTCTGGGAAACTGCTGCTCACAAATTATAATATCCATAAAATACTGAATATGGCTTTATGTAAGAAAGTTTGCGAATAAAATGCTTGTAAACTGTCTTTAACCGACTTTGACGATGTCTTGATAACGATAGATATCAATTTGAGCACGAAAGTTAACTTTTGTCTTGGACATGGGTTCATATATGGATCACTGCAATGCCTTTTATCAAATTTATTTACATTGTGTGTAGTTATAGTCGAAAACTTATTCATAAATGATTCTGTATAGCATAACATATTGAGATCTTCTCTATTGATGTACTGCTATCTTTATCTAAATAGTCTTTTTCGAATTATTCGTATTCAATTTCAAAAGAGATATTTTATTGGAATATTTAATAGAATTAGTATAAATTGTTCTGTATCTGTGAATGATGTTGATAATTGCCTGACAATATGTAGTATGATAATAGAAATAATTGATAACATAATTGTTAGTTAGAAATTCTTGCATATATGAAGTTTGATTAGAGATGAATATGAATTTTGTTTTCTTTCAAAAACAAACAAAGAATACCAGGTAATATCTTGATCAAATGATAAATTATAAATAAGACAAGAACATCAGTCGAAAATTATTTTCATAATTTTAAAAAATCTGATACATTTGAAAGATATAGAATTCTTTGATGAAAAAATTGAATTTGAACAAAAAATTACTTTATTTTTTTTTGTCGAATAATATCTATCGAGAGATTTTTAATCAGTGAATATTAAAAATATTTATTTGATAATTATTAAAAAAAAAAAAAGGAAATGCATCACTTATGAACGGTGTCAAATAATAGATTCACTGTTTACTAACGATAAAACTGAAAAAAATTGATAAGATTATTATTTAAAAAAACAAAAAATAGATTTGAAATCTATCGTTTGAATAAAAATTTTCGTGAAGAACACCATGAAAAACATCCAAAATTTCTTCTTTGTTCAATTTGAACTTGTTTCGATATCTAAAATAAAATAAATATTATTAAAATAAATAAAATAAACATAAAAACTAACATTCGGTAATCCAATCCAAAGTCTAATAGAATTATTATCAATTGTAAATGTAAAATTTGAATGATCTAAAATATTTTCTATTGATTTTTGATTAATTATTATATTTGATGTATCATAATAAAAAATAACAATTGATAAAGATTTTGAAAATATATTTAAGATTTTTTCAATATCTTTATTAGATTTAATTTTAATTCGTAAACGTTCAATTTGAGGAAATAATTTATTTAATTTTTCAATTAATGAAAATGATTTATAATCTCTTGTTAATTCAATTGAACGAACTTGTTTAATAAAAATTTCTTGTTCATATTGATTAAGTGATAATGGAATATCATAAAATTGAATAGAAATTAAATTTTTCATTTTATTAATAAGATCAATTAATATATTAGATGAAAAATCTATTTTTGATGAAACAAATATTAAACGTTCTATTCGATTTAAATCTATTATTAATTCTAAATTTATTGTTAATGGATCATCAATAAGCCAAAGTTCTTTTACATTTAAAAATTGATATTCTGTTTGTTCCCATACAGCTAGTGCATTTATATGATCATAAAAAATCGATTTATTCAATGTTGTACAATGAAATGGTGGACGAAAATTTGAATCAGCTGATTCACATGAAAATCGTGGAACTGAATAAATTAATTTTTGATTCCATTCTATTGCAATAAACCAATGTTTTTCATTCAGCCAATATGAACTTGAATATGAATGTAAAATATTTTGAATAGCTATTGCATTAAGAATAATTGTTGATTTTAATTGAAATTTAAAATAAAAAGTTTTTAAACGAGATAATTTTTCTATAATAAATCTTTCCCATTCATGTCCATCACATAAATCAAGATCACTTCGACATTCAACTTCAAAATAAATAAGATATGGAAAACAACATAACAAATCTTTCATATGAATCATATTCATTTGAAATACTATTTATAAAGAAAAAAAAATATCAAAATATTTTTTATTAAATAATGTTAATAATTTACTTGATATATTAAGAACAAGTCGAGTCAGATTTGAAGTTATTCCTTGAATAGTTGCTCTATTTTCTCGTTCAAGACAAATATTTAATGAAATAAGATTTGGAATATGATGAATAATATGTTCTAATTGATTGAATGTACATCGATTAGTTATTGTTAAATATTTAAGTTGATGCATTAATGTTATATTATAAAAAAACCATTCACAAGATATATTTAATCGAATTAATCGAGTAAATAAATTTTTTAATATCGATGAAGGTATTAAATTATTATTTAGTATTGTTAATGATGATAAATTATTAAACTTATCTAAATGATTGATAATTAATTCCATTGATTGATTATTTATATCTTGAAGTGTTAAACATTGTAGAGTTAAATAAAATTCTTCAAGTTTAAATAATGATAAAAATACATCAGATCGATGAGGTGTATCAATTCCATCAGATAATATTAATGATACCATTTTATTTGGTCTAATATGCTGACATATTAAATCAAAATCATATTTTAAAATTGATCGAAAATTAATTTGATAATGATTGTAATTTAAAACAATTGAATTAATATATGTACTTAGTTTTAAAAATCCATGAAGAATATCACATGTTGAAAGATAATCAAATATCATATGAATTATTTCTACGGGAAAAGAATCGAGAAAACAATAACGAACAGACATAATGTGGAACAGTTTACTTTTTTAATCTATAATATGTTAATTACAATAATATTCAACGAACAAAAAAATTACATTTTATAAAGTAAGACTAATATTTTTAATGGTTTTCTATTGTTCAATGGAAAAATAGCATCATATATTCCGTGAAAAAAAGTGACATCTGGAACATATATGTATCCATGTATACTCATAGATTCCTTATACGTCATATCAGGGATGAGCGAGTTCGAATCATGACTCGGACTTGAAAATTTGGGAACGTTAACTCGAGTCAATAATCCAAAAAAGTTTGGTTTACTGGCATAAAAACTTACGATATGTAAGATTAAGTTCTCACTTAATCACAACTTACTTGCTAATGGAATGCATTCCATTTCAAGAATTTTTCGATCTGTGTGTTCATATGTTAGAAGTAACAGTCTAAGCGTTAGGAGTAGCGCTTTAAAGTTAAAGTAAATTTTTTCACAAAAATAATCTTTTTAATGAAAGAAATGCTTCTTTTCCAAAATTTTTTTTTTTGTGAAAAATTCTACTTTAACTTTAATTTTTTTAAAGAATGTTTGCTTTGAATTTAATTTTTATAGTTTAAAACACTTTATTTTAACCGTAACTGCGTTATCAATATATTTGAGGATGTGGATCTGGGTGTGATTGGATGAAATAGAGAACATCCCCACCTGATGCCAAGGAAAATGATGATGCATCAGCAAGTCAAGAAGGTATGAGACTCGATTTATTGTAATAGTAACAAGTGATTCGATTTTGTTTTTGCTTATTACTAGTAGAATGTCTCTGAATAATTCGTCCTCTTTTGTTGAAAGTAGAACTCGACGATTTCAAAAAAACGCTCAGACCCAGAACCGCAGTCCCGGTTAGAAAAATTGAAAAAAAAAACGACTCTAATTTCGAAGCAAGGATGAAGATTTTATTTGTGCATAAATCACAGAATGACAAAGAAATATTGACGATAGCATTCGTCATTAAAATTTTTCAATTCGAACAGTTCCAAATCTGGTTTCGATTATCAGAAACTGTAAAAAATGGTTCCAGTTCCGATTTTTTTTGGAACCGCCGAGCTCTATTTGAGACCCAATTTTATCGATGTGTTCGATCACAGTTTTGTCTTCTATAATCAAGTCTCTCTCACTTCTACTTCTGATTCTGCACTAGATATTTATAAATACACAGTTGAACAAATTATCCGTTCATTGAGAAAAGATTCGTCGAACAATACGACTATAAAGAATTCAACGAGTAGTTTATATTCTTCTTGAAGAGAGTTTTCCAGTATTTCTGCCAAAAAAATAAAAAACCAATAAAAAGAATTTGAGCAAATTCCAAACGTTGTTAGTTCCCTAGTGAAGGTACTCATAGGCGAGTACTCAAAAAGTACTCACGCTAGAAAATGTCACGAGTACTCATGAGTACTCATAGGTTTTGAGTACTCAACAGCCGTACTCATGCTAGAATCTGACTATCTGAGTACGACGATCGAGTACTCGCTGTGTAATATTGAGTATTTTGTGAGTACTCCTATCTAGTTTCTGTGTACTCTGCTGGCCTGTGTAAAATACTCATAAGCATATCTTTTGGTTAGTACCGTTGTACTACATCAATTTTTATTTAATATTAGAATATTACAAAAGCCACAACCACACACAATGAAAATTTGAGTAAAATGGTCGAAATGAGAACTACAACTTTGACATCAGCTTCACATATTTTAGCATAAAGAATATGGTCATAGCAATCTTCATCATTAGTGAAGAAAGTTAAATTTTTTCTTTGTTTTTCTACAATAAAAATACAATTTTATTTATTCTTTTCTTTTCTCTTTCAAAAAATAAATAAAATCGTATTTCATTATGTAAAAAAAAAGAAAACAGTTAACTATTTTCTCTAATAATGAAAATTTCTTTAGCTATATCTTGAATACAGAGTACAATACAACACGAATTAAGGACAGTAAAATACAGTGAAGGAGGAAAAAAATAAATTAATCACCGATAATGAGAGATGTGATAGTAAATAAACGTACAGTATTGCTTGTTATACAAAAAACTTAAACAGGTATTTTTACATTCGTAACTATCTACATTTATGTGGGAATCTACAAAAAAATAAACACAGAATAAAATTGTTTGTTGGTAGTTTATTCACACATCTTCTTGTTTTAAAACTGCGACCGATTTATAATAAAAGTCATTGGTCGTCTTCCTTTTCATAGCATTTGATAGTCAATCTGAAAAACTATATTTTAATGGAAGATTTTTTTAATCTAAATTTAGGAAATAAAATTAAAGCGAATCTACGTTGATATGTTTAAAAAAATTCAATCTCACCTAAGTTAACAAATGAGAACGAAAAATCATTTTTTTTTCTTTCTGAACATCACCATTTATCTTAGTCGTGTAGATGATTCATCAAAAGGAATAGAGGATCGAATAAATAAGTCAATGAAATAATTTTTCTCGGGTTTTCATTTTACTGCATCATTTTGCTTTATTATATAATCTCAATTTATTTTTCTATATACTAGTGCATAAGTGTCTTGTTAAATGGTCTGCGAAAAAAAGACTATGAGTACTACACTGAGTACTGATATATCTGCCTTTGAGTAAATTTCCAAAGAAAAACTCGTATGAGTACTCATTAGAGTACACGAAGAGTATACATACACATCAAAATCGTCGAGTACTCGTGCGAGTAATATGAGTACTCATGCTGGAAAGTCGTACTCGCTTGATGAGTATTTTCACTAGGGAATTGTCAATAATATTTTTAAGGCTGTCACGTATGTACAGATACGAGTCGATCGATAAGCGTTTGAATAATTTTCATCTCTTTCGGAAGATATTTTATGATTGAAATGTCCCATATCCCGTAGGACGAAAAATTTTCTGTAGATGTCCGCTCCCATAAGATATGGGACTCAAAAATTTTAGGTTCCAACTCAAAGAGCAAGTTTGAATATTTTATCCCATACGACGGGTGGGTGTGGGTGTGAGTGTGGGTGTGGGTGGGTGTGGGTGTGTGGGTGTGGGTGTGAGTGTGCGGGTGTGGGTGTGGGTGTGTGGGTGTGGGTGTGAGTGTGGGGGTGGCAGGTGTGTGTGTGGGTGTGCTTATTTTCTCTACAAGCTAACCTACATCCACACCCACAAAGTCAATTCGGATATCAACGTCGACCAGCTAAAGATGATTTTATGTAAAAACAATAAAATTAATTGAATTTTTAAAATTTGAAAATTCATTATTTTATTTTTAGGATAATTTTTTTTGATTGTCAATCATTAGAAATGTTTGGTATAAATCAATCAATATTAATTGAACACAATTTGATAGAAAAAAAGAAAACTTTTTACATTTGGAATTTGAAAGTAATCCAATTAAGGCAAATGTTGATTATAGAATTCATGGTTTATCACAATCTTTAATTATTTATTATGATTATTGTGATATAGTGACATTACTATATCTTATCATTTTTTCTTTTCGTTCTTATATCTCTTCTTTCTGTGATCTCATTTTCTTTTGTTTCTTTCGATCGCAGTCAAAGTTTATAAACAATTAAAATTGACCTCGATCTTGTTCTATTGCGTATTTATATATTGTCCTTACGCAATATATCCTTTTTGTTATTTTCAAATAAACATTCATTCATCCTTCTACGTCATTTAGTTACACACTTCTATATTTCTCTGTCTCTTCTCTTCCTTGGAGATACGACAATTATAAAACAATTAATCAATTAATTCAATGTTTTCTTCTTGATCGTCATCATGATTTAGAAGGATAAAAAAATAATTCTTTTTAAATAAAATTAATTTTTTTTTATTTTTAATTTAGAATAAAAGAAGCTGCTTATTTAATTTATACTGATATTAAACTACCATGGACAAAATTAACGCGACACGTATTTTTGATAGATATTTTCATTAATGGTCAATCATGTCAAATATGAGCTTATCAAAAATTTTTTTCGTCTATAGGGATTTGTAGAGCTCGTTTCGCAGATCATTTTAGTAAAAAAGATATCCAGATTTACCTGATAAATAACGGATCTTGGCTCAGAATACTCAAAAATATCACCTATTACTCAGCAATGGTCACGAACAGTGGTAAGTTTTGAGTATTTTGACTCTAATGGCCATTATTTATTGGGTAAATTTCAATATTTTTTTTAATCAAAATGACCAGCGAAACGAGCTCTGCAAAGTCCTATAGACGAAAAAATTTTCTGAAAAGCTCATATTTGACATGATTGACCACTAATGAAAATATCTATCAAAAATACGTGTCGCGTTAATTTTGTCCATGGTAGAAACATCAAACACAATTTTTATTAAATGAAAATCTTAAAAAAATTCAAGATTTCGATATTAATTTAGAATTCCAATCAATTTATTTTATTTTATCTGAATATCAATCAATTTAACAGTTCAGTATTTCTTTTCTTTTTTCTTTTTAATAATTTATTTTTTAATTTAGAACAACATCATCAATGATTTGTTTAGATTTGGGACATTTAACGTTTAAAGGTGGAAAAATAAATATTTTAAATTTAGAAGAAAATTATTCAATTTATGTTCCAATTGAAATTCAATTAAGAAAAATTCAATTTCTTTTTTAAACTCAGGATAATATCTTTTCTACATTTTCCATGGATTTCTTATTAAAAACCTTGTTACGAAAAAATGAAAAGGATATCGTTAACGGTTATGATATGATCGTTTTGTATGTACACGTATTCATCTTTGAACACCTACCGGAAAATAAAGTAAAAAAAAATGTTTGATTTTTTTTGAATTTAAACAAAATTTCTTTTCTTTTTATAGACGATACATAACGTAATGGAATATTTTAAAAGAGGTAACAACGATCATTCAATTAGCTTTACAAATCAAAATGAAGCAAAATGCATTAAATTAATTGAAAAAGAAGAAAAGATTGAAATGTTATTTATCGTAAGTATAAATTATTTACAAATTAAAGTATGAAATATGACATAAATTTTAGAATGATCTTCATCCACATCAAAGTCTTGATATTGATATAAAAACTTATGTGGTACCAGTCAAAAATAAATACAAGTAAGATATTTTTCATATTATAAAATAAAATTTTAATTAGTTCTCGTTTTAGATTTCAGAATTGTGAGGATCTCGATGCAAAATTATTAAAATTCTACAACACTAACAAAAAATAATCATCATCTTAAAGTTCATTTTTTATTAAATTATAAAAAGAAGAGAAAAATGAACAGTTGTTGAATATAATTATTGAACATTTGATTTAATTTATCAAATGTAAATCGTTATCGTTATCGATTCAAGAAGAAATAAATGATTTTTCATTTAAATAAAAATAACCAGATAATATCGAATAGTTCAATAGTAATTAAATAACTTTTTGAGGATCAAGAGTGTGGGTGTGGGTGTGGGTCTGAATGTTATCTCCGATCCACACCCACACCCCACACCCTCTTTGATGTTTCAGTGCCGGATCCTTAGCGGATATCATCAGGATCTTGCAAGAATTCGCTTTTTCTCCTGAGAAAACGACCAAATCCTGAAAGAAACGGGCAGCCATGATCTTTCGGGACCCTGCCAAGATTTCAAACAAGATTCTCTAGGATACTGACAGGATTGTCATAGTCTTTTGCTTCAGGATTCTACCACGAAACCCACAAATCCTGGAAGAAACGTGTAGCCATGGAATTCCATGATCTTGTCAGGATTTCAATAACTCAAATTGGAAAAAACCGATTTCTGATCATATCTTTCAGGATCTGATCAGATTTTCTTGAAGATATTATCAAGCTTCTTGACAGGATCTTTGTAGGATTGGACCAGGTTTCTTTGAAGGTTGGGGTGTGTGTGAGTGTAAGTGTAGGTGTGGATATGAGTCTAGTATTCCCTCTTACCTACATTCACCCCCACCCAGACCCAGACCGAGACCCACACTCACACGCACATCCACACCAACCCACACCGACACTCACACCCACACCCACACCTACACAAAACCTTTTTTATAGTGTAGAATAACGTCTCTTTTCATTGAAATGTTTTGAAAAAGGATCTAAAACTTCTTCATATAAATTGTACTTTAAGATTTCATCTCTTAATGCTTTACATTTGATTTATGCTGCCTTTTCCGTGAAGTTTGTGCTATCTTCATGTAAAAAAAAAAACTAATATGATTGAACTTGCCAAACATGATGGTTTATAAAAGCAACAATCTCGAATGATATATTCAACAAGAATAAAAGACTATTTGAAAAACAAGCTTAAACAAAAAGATTCAGCATTTTCTAACCCATTTATTGAGAACGTTATCATCAGATGAAATATCAATAAACAAAGAATTGATCAAACAATCGAAATTAGTCATCATACACTTGGTATTTCTGCTGTTCGATCGACAAAGAACAAAACCAATGGTAATGAACGCCACAAGAGGCATTAATGAATACTAACAAGAATTTCAATTGAAACTAATAGATCAACTATCACAAAATACTCGTGATCTGATGAAACAAAACAAACACCCTTCCTTCGATTAACTGATCGATCAAAACATAATAGTTTAGAACTATACCGATAATCGAAAATAGTTGACTTATCTAAAACGCAAAAAATGTTTAGGACAGAATAGTGATTCATGATAAATAGTAGAAAAAAATTATTTCTTTTTCATTATATGTTGTTTTTTTGGAGCTCAAGATTCATGCTAGCTACCACATTTCATATTCGACTGAAACTCAAATACTTCCTAGGCTTTTCTTTTAAATGTTTACAAACTGTATATAAGACCCGCTTCTATGAATGTTGTCAATAATAAAAATATTAGTGCATCTATGAAGGACACACTGTGACAAATACTAATAGCATATAGTCAAAAAATATATTTACATGATCAATCGCATCTCTCAAAGTTTTCTTTATAAAAATAAAAAATAACTTAACTTTCTCTCTATCTTTTTGTTTTTGATGTATCTGATTCGAATAGTAACAAACAATATCAAGCATTTTTCTATGTACGAAAAAGCAATATAGTTTAATCCCTAATACCCATTTCTCATTCTTGCTTCTTTCAATATCTATATCTACTTAAAAACTTTTTACTACAGACAAAATTTCTTCCATATATTTATCATCATACCTTGAATATGGATTTGGGTGTGAGTTTGAGAATGTGAATTTGTGTTTCAGTTCTTTATACATTCACAGCAGCCATACCCCCCATCCACCGTGAGACTTAAAAAACTTTCAAATTGACTCGATAATACCGAAATTGATATTCAACAATATTTATAAGAACTGTCTTTCTTGATCACAAAAGATGCAAACAATCAAACATCAATTCATTATTTCGAGTATACTTCAAAATTCTCTCAGCGTCTATTTGAATTGAAAATATAATAAATTTTTTATCTATCCTTTTTATTTTTGCATTCAAGATGAGTATAAAAAAAAACCTCTGAATATTCATCCATTTAACAAAGCAAATTGATAGAAAATGCAATATTGACAACTTGCCAACAGTCTCATTCCTTATTCAACATTTTCTATATTTTGAATTCTGCCATTCGCTTGTACTTCGAGATTTCGTACATTGGATAGTTCTGATTTTCGATATTTTACTGCTTTTCTTTCGGATGTTGACTCTCTATAAATATGTTAAAAATTATTCAAAGATGATTAAAATATGGTAATGGAGTCATCGACGTGAGGAATCATCTTCGTATCGTCATTTTCACTTTTGTATTCTTCTCTTAACATGTGAGAATCCATTTTAAACGATTGTAATTATAACGAATTTTTCATAATCATTTCTTTTAATGTTTACTTCCACCAGTGAATTTCGTTATGAAAGTCAGACAATGAACTATTCATATATCTATTGATTAGTAGGCAAACTATTTTATTCGATAAAACAAAGGATGATAGCATTATGTCCTGGATTCTTTTTTTTTTCTTTTTTCTTCTTCTTCTCTTTTTCTTTCCTATTTATGTGTTTGTTAGTCAGTTAATGATTTCAAATATTTCGTCGATCATGATAAACACCATATCTCAAAGAATACTACAGATATAAATATTCATATTTCATTGTTTATTGTTTTTCAGAAATGCCCGAAAAAGGTCCATGTACTGACGTAACATGTGATAATGAAATCAAAGAATTATATGAATGTCATTGTTGTTTACGTCTTGTTTGTTTATATCATTTGAATAAACATGTTGAAATAACAAAAGAAAATAAACAACGATTAGATAATCATCGTAATGAATTAAATACAGTTATATATACACTTACACTAATTGTTGAAGAAAAACTATTGATTATTGAACGTGAACAAAATTTGATTCAACAAGCAAAAAAAATTCTTGATGGATCTAGCAGTTCAATTGATGAACTACAAAATATTTTTGAAAAAATTAATCAAACAATAGCATCAAATCGTTCAGGTAAAAACTAAATTAGATAATCAAGTTTTTTTTATATATTTTTCTTTTGTTAAAGAAGAAATTACGGTGAAAGTCGAACCGTCATTATTAGAAACTAAATATTGTTCTTGTGTTTGCAAATGTAATAAGGAAAACATGAATTCAAATGGTAAAATGAAATTTCTCTCTAAAATATATTTTTTTTTTGTTTTCATTATATTTATTCTTGTTTGTTTCGATCGAACCATAGATACTGGTGTTTAACGAGGAAGCTAGCCGAATTTATTAATCACCATTTCAACTTATATTGATATCAGAAAAATTTCTTAGTAAAAGTAGTTGTAGTTAATGAACCAAGTCATGACTTTTCCACCGAATTTTCGATCTGCAAGTGTCCATAGATATAAAGTTGATGACCCTTAGAATATTCGAAAAGTTTCAGCTGAAAAAAAAAACGTTCATTGATCGAGATATTATATTTTCAAGTAAATTTGATTTTAGCCAGTGCCTATTTATTACAAAGGATACCGCCGGATAAGATCGTAAATCTGCCACCCCCCTAGTTTTGACTTC